AATAAACAAAGAAAAAGTTAAATTATAAAACAATAAATAAAAAAGTTATAAATTTTTTTGAAATGGAATAGAGGCAAGTCTGAGGGGTTTACCTGCCGAAAAGGACACTGACTGAAGAAGTAGGACATACACAACAACTCTGCTAATAAACAATAATAATAATAATATTTTTCTACTGCATCTCGTAGGGTTGTATCGAAACTATTTCAAACTATCTTTATAATAGTATGATATTGTTCCTTCTAGCTATTATTCTCACAACTTTGTATTTGGTTTTACCCAAAAAGTTTCTTATCAACAGAGATAATTATCCTCCTCTATATACTCTTGATCTTTCCCTTATTTAGCCAATGCGAGACTTTGGTCGCATTCCGAGCAACCCTCCACTCAAACAAAGTACCATCGAGCCTCCTCTCGAGTAATCATCCATCAATCAAACTCCTCTTTCCCCATAGCACATTGCCTATCTGGTAGAGTTCAACGACGAATCATGCTATGACTACTACATCTTTCGAGGCTTACACTTCTTTGTTCAGCACCCGAAAACTTTACCGACATGGCTAAATCATGGGCGTGACTTTGATACCATTTTTTAAGGACAATGGTACCTCAAGAATTTATACAATAGTATAATATTGTCCATATTGAGCATGACTCTCACAGCTATACTTTTGACATCAACGTGAAAATTTGTTTGCGCTTTTTTACAAATCTAACAATCATCCCTATAATAAAATACCACCAAACCTCTCATCAAGTAGCCATCTATCCGTACATCCTTACTCTTATCCAAAGCTGTAGGCACATATGGATAGAGAACAATCATAGATCACACCGCGACTACATATTTCGAGATTCAATACTTTGTTCGACACTTTCACTAACGTAGCTAGGTTTAGATCCGATCTAATACCACTTGTTAAGAACAACAATATCTGAAATATCCTAAGCATCTCCACAGTAATATAATATTATTCGCTTTGGACATGACACTTACGACGACTTTGCTTTTGGTTTAACTCAAAAAAATCTTATACTAATGAAGATAATTGTTCTCATAGATATACTCATGATATTCCTCTACTAATGTCGGATTTTGGTCATGTTCTCAATAAATTATATATATATATATATATATATATATATATAACTGAACATTATAAATATAAAGAAATTTCAAATGCAAATCTCAAATTTCTGAAAACTGTAGTTAAAAAATAAAAAAAAAAACGTAGTTACCAAAAAAGAATGATTGGATTTAACTTGAATGGAGGGGCCGTATTGACCTTGTTCAAATTTGAATTTCACTCTTCTACTCATTTAAAAACCAAACACAGTGATACACGCATCCCTAGAAAGTTCACTGATGATGAACGATTTAATGGGATACTTTGGTTTTGGTAGCTTCTTCTAAAGAATGGCTTTTACAATTTGGGTTTAAATTTAATTATTTTATTTTACTCGGATAATATATTTAACTCATCTCAACATTTGAACATTTTAAACATTCAAATAATAATATCCATCATTTCACTCAATAGTCAATACTCATCCAAGTTTAGGAGTGGAACAAAGGAGTAAAAATGTCGCAATTATTCTCTCGTAATTCATCTTGTATATAAAAAGTTGTAGTTTTAAAATTTTCTCTCTACTTTACTCCTACGAATTTCCATTGATGGAAAGATGATGTATTTGCTGGTTAAGAATGTAAACTTTTGCCTATGTCCATAAAAATTTATAGCTCTACTCATTTTTTTAGCTAATTTTAATACATATCTAACATCATGAACAATCCACAGCAAAATAATAGTAGAAATTATATAATTTCATTTTTTTAAAAATGATCATATAATTTTACCAAAGCAAAATTAAGAATTGGAATAGTAAAAATCTCTCTCAAACTTTACTCTGGTGAAAATCAAATTAGAAAAAAAAAACATTTGACAAACAAACAAATAAGTTGTGTAAAATTTGAGCAATAATAATTTAAGAAAGAGGAGGAGTTGAGAAGTGAGAAGGGGAGAAAAGAAAATGGTGAGAGGGCAAAGCAGGGAACAGCCCTGTATGTTTGTGGCTGGCTACAACACAGATGGGAAATTAAAAGGTACAAAGACCAGTCAAAGTCAGGGATTTATTATAACAAACGTCCAGTACCAGATGCAGTACATCGCGCGTCAGATAAACGCGCCAGACTCTATTATGTATCTAATCATCATTAAGGGTATACAAATTTTTAAATATGGTTAAATTACAAATAATAATACCAGAACGAACATAATTTAATGGTAATTTGAGGTTGTGAGTTCGAAACCCACCTTCACATGCTATACTAAAAAAATTACAAATAATAATAAAATACTCTTGAATCATATCATTTGCTTAGAACAAAGATCCTTATCTTTTCAAAAGTTCCAATTCCAACTGATTTCTTATAAATATTTTTAAAAAGAATACTATTTGAGAAAAAATCCATTTCGAAACAATTGGATCATACTRCAACAAATTTGATTTTTAATAACGACAGTAAAAAAATTCACACAATGACAAACATACGATTGACCACATTAAAGGTCAAATTTATTGTAATTGTTCAAGATAAATTTTCATTAATCATCACATCATTCTAAGTCTGTCACGTCAACTTTGAATTTAAAATATTAATGGAATATTTGCTCAATTTTTGAAACGTTTATGAAAGATTAATGATGATATTAGAACTTTTGATATGATACGATACGATGAGGGCATTTTTGAAAAAAAAAAATGAAAAATTCAAAGATTATATATATATATTTGGTAATTTAAGCCACATTACAACAATAATATTTTATAGTGGTGGAGAGTGGAAGTGAGGGAAGGAGGAAAGCGCGTGAGAGAGACAACAGTGTTAAAAGGGTGGTGTGGGGCCAAGGCCGGTTGGCTTGGCAGAGTGCAAGGAGTCGGACTGAGTTAAGGAAGAAAAAAGGGACAATAATGGAAATTTAATTTTCAAAGGAGGGAGAAAAAAAAAAGAAAAAAAAATGAGATAATTGATTGGAATTCCCGCCAACAAACATAAGCACAAAAATCGAATGCAGCCGTCGCTCTCTAATTCACTTTTTTTCATACACAACACAACGCTCCATCAATCAAACTTATCCAATCCAATTCAAAATCATTAATAAATATTTTGCTTTGAAATTAAGTCGATAAACATCCATTTAATCCATGTGTTTCTTTGTTTTGCTGTTTATTTTTAAATTTTTTTTGGAATTTCTAAAAAACAGAAACTAAAAACGAAATTATTATACTTTACTTTTTAAAGCTATCGTCTTAAATTAACAACTTTCAAAATCTCTGAAAAGTACTTATCTAAATAAATAAGCATGAAATCATATTTTCCATTGTATCCAGCACCTATTATGTATACCTATTTTCAATTCTTTGATATCATGAAGAAAATTAAAACGGGCCTCACAATCTCTAAGTCTCTAATTATTTATCTAAGGATTAGTAAGGGTAAGTCTCTGGTGTTACCTCCGATCAATAATTAAGACTTTCACAATCACTAGCCTAAATTCGGATCATTTTATTATTTAACTAACTAATTACTGCATGGTGATGATTCTGATGGCGTGGCCGCTGTGTCAAAAAAAAAAACCTCAACACCAAGATGATAAAAAAACTCAACATCATTCATTCTCAAGAACTTTTAATACCCAATAAAAAACAAAAAGAATGATAAACTTGTCTGATTAAAGATAGCGGTTCTTCCCTCCCACGTTGCTCTCTCACCTTATATCTTAGAACACATCATTTGTACAAGAAAAAAGATACCCGAACATCTTAACCCAAAAAGTCAAATAGACAATATGAAACTTGTAGCTTAAATGATTAGAACATGTGAATATGAACCTCGACGCTAGAAGTTTGAGTCTCTCCTTACCTACAACTATCCAAAAAGGAAAAGAGTTCTCCCTTCAAACCTAAAATTTCCTTCATAACTTTAGGGTGAGTGTTGTATCAAAATGAAATGGTCTTAATATGTTTGGTTGAGAAAGACCATTTCAATAGTAGACAAGAAGTAAATGAATAATGAGAATTATTAGAAATAGTAGTAATGTAATAAAAGTAAAGGCAGTTGAAAAATTCAAATCTACCCCCCGCAATAGGAGTGAGTGTTGTCCATTATTAAGTTTGGGCCCTTTCAATTTCTCTAACAAAACATCAGGTGTTACTCTTATGATTTAAATGACCTTTTTTCCCTTTTTGCCCAGAGAAGATGATCGTAACATGTTCAACTATTTAGATGCCGCCACGTGTCACATTGATCCTAATTATAGGCCAACTCATAAGACAGGTCAACGACCCCAACCAACCATTCATCTATCCCCACATGCCATGAATCATGAATCCCACCAATTCCCAACTGTATCCTTTTCTTTTAAAAGGAAATATTATTCATATATCCCAAAACAGAGTCTTCCTTCTTTTTCTCTTCATTATGTTTTTCCATTTAGTAACAATAGAATTATTCAAAATAAGAGTAATGATTTTGAAAAATAATCAATTTTTATTAAGGTTACAAAAATTGTCAACAGAACCACTAATAAAACATAGAAAATCAACTACGAAACTTGGGCAAATATTGAACATCTATGTAATTTTATTTGAATAAAAATTGGATAAAACATACTTTAATGTTTTTTTTCTCCATACTTTGCTTTGCAACAATTTTAATATCGTTGTATTTCTAGGAATGAAAGAAGCAAGTCACTGATTAAATTTATGCATGCATGAAATTAAGAAAAGTAGATGAAAAAAACAAATATTCTTGTAATCAAAATCAAACATGGTCTAATTCATACCTATTGATATGACTTCATAGTATCAATAAAATTCTGATCTAATGGCATAATCATTATACTTTTGGAGTAGGATGACTATATTTCTATTAAGAGAATGATAAAAATGTATTTTAAACAAGGAAGATTCTTTCAAATTCCTAGATTATCTTTAAAAATAAAACTAATTTTAATTTCTTACCCCCTAGAATTTTTTAAATACTTTGAAACCATTAGTGTTCTGATCTCTAAGTTCATACAAATTGAACTGATAATCTATGACTATAAATAAACGCCATCCTAAAAGAGAGAGCGGGTCTCTAGTTGTAATTCAACGTAATTTGTACCCAAAAAAAAATAATAATAATAACAAATTAACTAATTTGTATATCAATTTCTTTAGGAAATTAAAGTGTTACCTTTCACTATTTTTATCAATTGAAAAATATACTGCTTCCATGACCATTTAACTTATTAAGAATCATCTTTATGGAATAAGATCATTTTAATAAAATTATTTTCTCAATTTCTACTCTTGATATTTGCATCAATTTAAGAATCATTTCCACAACAGATGCAACACCATTACTAGGGAACATAGTTCTTAATATTTGTACTACTAACTTCTTGACACCATATTTTTATATGTACTTTATTAGTTTTTAGATTTATACGAATTAAAAATTAGAAATGAGTTAGAATTTTCTATTTTGCCAATCTGGTCAATATGATAATGTTTCTATCCTTGATTTTATATATTTTTTAAAATATATGTTCATTTACTAACATTTTGAAATTATAGCTGAAATTTTAAAATCTAAGTAGTTTACCCTTTTTTTTTTAAGTTGACCAAGATTTCAAAATGTTTTGAAAAAATTGAACAGAAAATAAATAAAGCAGAAGTAATTTTTTAAAGTTAATTGGTTTAAAACAGAAAACCAAAAATAACATCATTATTAAATGGAGCCTAAATTATTGACAACTAAAAAAAGTAAAGATATTATAAGTAGTAATAGATAGACTTAGAGGTAGCCCAATTTTGTTATATATATTTAGTGAATATATCTATTTTAACCCAAGGGACTGATTGATTGATAAGAGCTTGGAGTCCCTTAATCATACTCACTTAGAGGTCTCCAATTTAAATCTTTTATTGAACTTAATAGCAAGAACCTTTAATGTCTCGCGAGTTCGGACCTTGGAGCTTGTACAGTTGCTCCTCGAGAGAGCATATAGCAAAGCTCCAACTCTCCGTTATAGAATATGAATATATATATATATATATATATATCACTAATTAAAAAGGGAAGGAGTAACGTGGGGGCTGCTAAAGTGGGAGATTACGTGGGACTGCAATTAGAATGAAGCATTGAGGGGGCATATCTCGTACCTTATGACATGAAGTGAACACCAGGACATTGTCGTCAATGAATTGATGAAAAACACCCTGGAGAGTGGAGAGAATTATATTATAATTAAAACATGAGCCCTCTTTTACAAACACCACACCCGTCTAAAAACAGTTTGTATATTCACAATATATAAAATTGACGAAAAGAAAAAGATACTTAATAAACTATACAGTGTAGAACACAATATGGATTTTCAACACTCTCGTGGTATTAAAGATATTTCGATAGAACAGAGATATATACTCAGCAGTTGATGTTGACGTTTGGAGAAACATGTTCATGTGGTGATGGGGTCTTTTGCTTCCTGCTCTTCTGTAAAGATACCTGTACAGACAATCAGACCCAAAAGAAAATGTAATACTTCATTAAGGAATTGAGTTGTTTTTTCTTCTCTTCTCCTTTCTATTCTATTATGTATCACAACGCATGGCAGTTCCAGATTATGTTCAATAAGGTAGATCATACCAAAAAATCCTTTGGATTCTTAAATTTTCATACTCAAGTTTAGTCATTTTATCTGAAATGTTTACCATTGATTAGAGAGTAGTCACTGATTCTCATTATATGCTAATTAGCATTCATGGAAAATTCAAAGGCAAAGCAAAAACAGACAAGAAAAAAGATAAAACTGAGCATGTATTTTCTATTTTTAAATTGCCATGGAACAGTAACATGGTGAAGTTGGTAAAGAAGTACCAATAGGATATCTTCATCAGTACCAAAGCATTTCCGTGCATCATCTAGACACTTCGATGAGATCCTGTCACGCTTGCTGCAAAACTTCGTGAAGTTAATGCTACTAAATTTTTATAACTAGCTAGAGTAATTTATCAACACCAATAAATCAGATTGAAGTCCTAAGGACACAGTATCTTCTTAAAGAGGGTCGTTTAAATTATGAAAGGTAACAAAATGTTGAGAACTTTATCACCATCAATTTGCTATTCTAATCTCGAGGCTCATTGCAATTGATATAAAGCACATATCTATGTTTCTGTAAAAAAAATATTTGAGGACAATTCTTAATAAACCCATGTAAGGTAAAAATTTGAGGTTAGTTTGCATTGGTACGTTTGCCTTAGATGATATTGTTGGACCAGACTATGCATTATAAAATTCTTTAGATATTAATTAACTGAAACGTGGACAGTAGTATCCTCACTTCTCATTTAACTCTTGAATAAAAAATGCCAGAGATTATTTAATAAAATTAAAAATTTATTATAGACTAAGGGGAGGATAGAACCTAGTGCTGGCAGGATCTCTGATTTCAAATTCATCCGCATCGGCATCATAGCCACATACCACAATATAATGACCTGAAGAATATATTCATTGGTAACTGACTAAATAATTCAAGCTAAAATAACTGCAGTGTCCAGGGAGAATTATAGATTACAACCATTCATAAGCAGTGTATCTACTGAGAAAGTGGCCACACTAACCAGTATAGCTGAAGTTGCTATCACAGATGCCTGATACAAGCACATCCTCCAGCCAAGATCGACTGTGGCACAAATATCCCCAAGAGAATTCCAGTTATAATAAAATCACGACAAGAGTATTCCAGAACTAAATCTAAACAGAGGCAATCTATGATGAAAAATTGAAGACCTAGTTGGATTAAAATGGCTGCTACATACTAACATAACATGCTACTGATAAAGTAGTTACTTCAAAAAAAGAAACATTGAACAATTTAAAAGCATAATAATTGTGCTATACCTCAATCTATGCTGATCAACTAACACAATAGCAACATATATCCCAGATAACATTAAGAGAGAAATTTCTTCTCTGCTGATAGACCTGCGCTGTAATTTAAGGTTTGTTAACTTAATATCAAAAAACATTAGCTTTCTACTTTAGATGGATAAAATGACAAAAACTAAACAATGTGTATAGGTCTTTTGAATGTATTCCTGCAAACCAAAGTCCCCAATTCTCCGAGTACAAGTTAAGAAAATGGAAACATACATTTACATTCTATTCACAATTTTAATTTATATGGTTAGATACCAAATGACCAAGTATCCCATAAACCCATCTCAATGAAAGCATCCATCCCCTTTTTCCCCTTTAGCTTTTGGTTTCCTATAGCATCTTTCTCATGGTCAAGGGCATAAATGAAAAACCTTCCATCTTGTGTTTTACCCCATAACTTATTTAGCTTCAGTTAGATTTATTTGTGCAACAAAAAATACATAGTTTTGATGGATTATTTCAATATTAAATTTATAATATGCAACTTCCGCCGAGCATTTTCAATATAACAAGCATGACAATCTAACATCCCTTCACAGGGTTGCAGAGTAACACAAATAACCAAAGATTATTTCACTTTCTCAATCACAAACAACCAACATCACGGCCATTTAAAAATTCCTTGCAAGACAAGTTTTCATTCTTCAAACCAGCCTTCAAGGCTTCAAGGGTCAACTAGATTTAAAAATAAATAAATAAATAAAAATTCTAAGCAGAAAATTAATATTTATTTGCATCTGCTAGAAGCTTTGAAAGGCATCATACCATACCCCAAGTCATAATCCATAACTTTCTCAAATAAGATGGTTCAAATTAACATAGAATGAATACAATGAAATTAGAAGCATACAAAAATATATTTCACATATCATCATAGCAATAAAAAATGTAAAATATTGATATGTATTAATCTTACGGAAAGAAATACTTAGATGAGATCCACACCTCAATTTTGATTCCAGCTTCCAACGCCTTTTGAAATAGCCTATCAACTCGTACAAGATCATTTGCTAGTTCCTCCTGCAGAAAACTGTGCATTTAGAAGCATCGCTGCAGCAAAAAAAAAGGGCCATGCCAAAATATTGTTGCATAAAGAAACTATATTTTTAAAAAATTCTGATATTCACCCAATGAAACAAAGAGGTTTTGTTCATAAGACATGACTTTTAATTCAAACCTTGTATGACTTCCATAGCCAATTACACAAATGATCAATCAGAAAGTGTTATGGACAGTCACAATGGTAAAAGATACAACAGAGCCAGCAAAGTAATTTCTGTGCAAGAAACCAACATTAAAAGTTTCACCTTGTAAAATGATTCAACAGAATAATTAGGGTTGGCTCCAAAGGTCACTGTGAAGTAGGAAAAACTGACTGAAAAAGTCTGCAACAAATATGCCAAATCGACAGTCCATATACTGCCCAAAAAAAGTTGCAACCAGAACTTATTAGCTTTCACTTTTATATACTGGAAAAAGTGCACTGTTTATCAGGAAGGGGAGAAAAAACTGATATATAAAAGTCAAGAGACACTTCAACTAGTGATCTCATTCAATTTCATTGTGGAAACCCAAAAAGCTCCCTGTTTGTTACACTCATTTGAGGAAGTTAAGACCTAGAGCTGTTAAGGAGGTTAAGAGAGTGGTTTTGCTGGTAATGATTGTTGACTGAAAGAGAGTTCAGGTAGTCCTACAATAACAAATCATTGGTTTAACTGAATAACTAAATAAAATAGATAGACCTTTCTCTTCGTCTTAGGTCGACGGATCTTCTCCATTGAAAGATCCCCTGTATGGATAATACACATTACAGTTACTGAGCCTAATTCTAATTGTTTTGTACCGAAGCAAACCACGGGGCGGTTCAGATATTCATGATATATCCTGATTTATCGATGAGGGAGAAGGGGAAGGGGATGAATGGCAGGAAATTAGACTTTAAAAGAGAGCCAAAGGCTCTCGAAAGCATGGAACTCGATAAACTTCTCTAATTCTATTGACTTTGGTACTGGGGTGTCGATTTCCAAGTTAACGAAAGAGGATCCATGGAGAATAGCCTCGTATCAGTTTATGAAAAATGAATAAAGGATTCAGCTCGTGTTGAGCAAACTACAGAAAATTTCTGCAACAAAGAAGACCATTAACATGTTCTTCGAAAGAAGGGAGAGACAATTTCGTGACACACCATAGAATATAGCTCGCAGTTACCAAAAAATTCACAAATGTTGTCTTTTACTTGTCTCAATTGCACTTGACCTTAGGAACTCAGTTCACACTGACTCGGACTGTAAATGTAATTCCTTGGAATACAAAAAGTTGCATTTGCGAAGGGAAAATAAAAAAAGTTCACACTGACTCCATTGCCACCGTAGCTCTTTTAAGAGATTGTATTTTGCATCAAAAGTTCTGAGTTTTTGGGACTTCACCCTTCCCTGTTCTTTCATCCTAATTTTAGTGGTTTTAGTCCTCGGGGAACATCAGTCTCTGCAGAATGCTTCATGGGAGCCTTTTGAGGTTATTTGCAGTCAGCACCCAACTTTTCACCTTGAAACCCAGGTGTGGACAAAGGGTATCAACAGGATAAACCCCTAGTTAATTTTACTTATTTTAGAAAGAGAAAACCTAGAGCCGCCAAGGAGGCTGAGTGAGTGCTTCTACTATGATGACCAAATTTAGATAGGCAATTAGTTAGTTGATTGGATGCTGGTATATCAACTAAGGTAGAAGGAGGGGCCTAAGCCTTTTGAAGCTTGGATCCCAAAAAAAAAACTTCTCTACATTTTTCGTTTCTGGTTTTCCACTTGCTGATTCTATCAAAATCCTTTAACAATATTCAAACCTAATATGATAACATGTAAAAATTTTACAAATAATATAAACATTTCTAACCTGAAATTATGTCTTTATTACATTCCTATCGTCGATAAAACTCTGACGTCTGGGCTGCACCTATTTACTTTTTTGACCACAGAATATTGCAGTACAACATGGACCCTCACAGATTGAATCGAATGATTCAAGACTAAAACGGCCAAACCATTTCTCATATCTCAATTTATGTGGCCAGAATATCTAAACAAAAAAATATCACTGTTAGACTTTCAATACTGAGAAAGTACATTTCAAGTTTCTTACACGGACTAGCAAATTTCAGTTTGTGAAGTTTTCTCAATTATAGAATTCACCAAAATATGACTTGATGAGAATCCCAACTAAAATTGATGTCTTTCTTTGGCTATCTCAGATTTTGATCTTATGAGAGATATTCCACGATACCATTTATCTATTTCCTGGATTATATCATGCAAACACGATAGTTAATCAATTAATACTTAATTCTCACCCATATATTTGAAGCCTGCAGGATTGATGTGGTTTTCTAACTTCTTAACAAAGAGTTTGGTGGGTGCTGATTCTTTTCTGAAAGCATTTGTTTCGTTCTACGTACTCATCATGTGAAAGGGCTTCAAAAACAAAAAAGAAAGGCATCCTGGAAGTACAAAATATCTATCCTATCCTGAATTTCAATTCAGGTGAAGTCATTCTGCAAGAATTATAAATGTTGAACCTTAAGGGAATTCTACTTCTTTGGACATCCTGTACTGTATTTGCAGGTGGATTTCATGTTCTTCTTAGAATACATGGTAAATTCGTAGTCCTTTCAACTTATACATACATATATGAGAATAGCTCTGTAAAGAATATTATATGTTCATAATAGAAAGAAGTATCTTATTTAAAATAAAACACCTTGTTGTGCAGCATAGATCTGCCAATGACTGAATATGACAATCATTTACACCAACAGTGTTCAGAACCATCAAAACACAAGCAAGGCCACAATCCCATTGTTGTTGCTGGTTTATGTGTGGTACCTAGCAGGAAAACAAAAAACTCAACAAAGCAAGAAAAACAAGTTATGCTGCCACATAGGGACAATTCGATTTTTGGTATATGCCAGGATCATGCCTTTGAGTATTGGCTTAGTAAAAATATTAGGACACAAGAAAGAAAATCAAACAAACTTACTTCAATAACCTGGGAGCGGGACAAAATTGGAGCATCACATTTTATTCTACTTGGAAACTTCTCAAATGGGTACAATTCTACAAAACTCAAATCATCTTCACCCGATTCTCTTGGTTCCTCTAGCTTGAGGGTCTTGTTGAAGAGAAGATAGAACGGCCACATGAGAGACCAATTCAGCTGCAACCAGTCACCATATAATGAAAAACTCTTATTTATTCGCTTTGAAGAGGGTTAGTCTACAGATTTTATTTGTTATTCCACCTTACTCCAGGAACATGATTCCTACTACCTTCAACAAAAGAGAAAAGAAGATCCTGAGATTGAATACTACTGAGGAATATTATCAAATTACATGCACTACAAACTTATGCCAGGAGATAGCTCATGTACATCAATCACGTGCATAGTTTCACCCCTTTACTCTAAAAAGTCACTTCTACCACCCGTGAATAATAAAAAGTTAGGATCCCACTACAAACTATATCTAACACATGCACACACAAAAAAGGAAGCTTGCGTAAGAGAGCTCGTTTCTGTCAACACTCTGCATAAGATATGTTTTATCAATTTTATTGTAGTTCCGTCTCTTTTAATCCAAAACACAATTTCTGCTAATTCCAAAATCCAAACAAAGTCAGTAAGACTTCCACCAATAATTATTTCAAACACAAATATCAATGAATATAGACTATAAGTTTGCGCAAAAGAAAGCTCATGTTCATCACACTCGAAATGCGAATACGCTTCAATCAATCGCGTTCGTGTGAGTCCAGCCATACGATCCAGTAACACCATTTCCACGACCTCGGAATCAGAATATTACGACCTTCACGTTGGATAATATAGGATAAAATAAATACTAAATGCATAATAAAAAACTATAAGTTGCAATCTAGCACCCAAGACAAGAATTACGAACAATTCATCGGTTATAATCCTTAGAAAACACTTAATGCTTAGGAAAACAAATCAAACGGTTGTTAAAATGAAGATGAAAGTAGGAAAGAGAGAGAACTTTCAGCTCATAGTTGAATGCATTTCGATCCTTGGCAACTAGCAGAAATGAAAATCAGAATAAGCACAAAAACAAGTAAACGAAAAAATTCGAGAAATGGGTAGAAAGAAAAATATTGAAGCACAAACAAACAAACAGACTGACAACTCTGGGAATTAAAATACTACAAAGAACAAGTACAAACCAGACAGAATTAAATAAATCAAAGATGATAAAGTAGTGAAAATCAAAATCCAATCAGAACCTTACGAGTTTCAGAACAAAAACAGACAGCGATGAGCAGAAATCAAGCTGCAGTTATCTCCGATTGGAACAAAATATATAAGCGCTGATTCTATTCGCAAAAGGTTGTTGGAGATTGTTTTTCATTTCACCTGTTCTGGAAATTCTCAACATCCGTGAGCAGTCGCAACGACATGTCGAAAATAGTATCTTTAGCTGTATCTTTTCGCAATCAAGTCTTATACGTTCTGGGCCCAGTTCTGGGCCCAGCCCATTATTCAATAACCGGTCCAGTTGCAAATTGTCGTTTTGATGGTCCAAAACTGATGGGCTGGGTTATGAAATTTTACCGGCCGAACGTTATCTGACACAAAGCACACGAGGCCCTTTACTTTTTTATTTTTTATTTTTCAAATTATTGTTTATTAATATTAACATAAGGAACCATTTTAAAATGTAATCGAATTCACTTGTGCCCACTGGTTATCCTTGGATTCTTCAAATGATACTCGGTTTTCATGATATAACCTCTCACTTTTTCGTGAAGTTTTAGGGTTTTTTGGTTGGCGTGAAGTTTTAAGTTTTTAAGAGTTCTTAAAAAGTCCTTTTCTAATGAAATTAAAAAGATAAAAGGAGTTAACATATTTTATTTGAGCTCTTAAACATTTTTATTCACTATGTAATACCCCTGGGTTTAGGTTATTCTCTGAACCTACATTTTAATATTGAACATTATTTCTCCCCTACTTTTTCTTTCTTATTTTTTTTTTTTCTTTTGTTGGGTACATTGACATTTCAATTTTTTTTTCTTTTAATTGCCGACATGTAGAGGTAGTGATTCAAACCTCCCAACGTTTTAGCAAAAAACATATATCTTTAACTAATTGAGTTATGTTCACAAGCATAGTCATATTACATTATTTACTAGAATAACAATTAATGAGGACGTATATGCCAAACGGTTCTTTCAATATTAACTATAAAAAATCGTACAGAACGAATAAGCCTAAATATAATAAGTATTTATCAAACCATGCCAAGGATCCCTATTAAGCCGACATATCTCCTTTCCTTTCCTCCTACCTTGACAATGAATCTCCCAAAAGAATTTGTAAACGGTGCAACATTTGTTTCTAACAAATTCAGAAGTTAGAGCAGCCCACTGTTACATTACAACAGAGAAATCAAGAACAATCTGGTAGATAACCTTTCTCATAATTGAAGTCGACATGTCACCTCTGCAACCCATTGTCATCATCCAGATACCAACTTTACAAAGATACAGATTGCATTGAGCATTATGAGAGGAACCCTCAAATATTGTGTTGCGTAGATAAGGCCTATAAGCTGCCCCTTGAATGACTTTGTTCTACCTCCTGAGAACTCGGAGAAGCTCAATCCACGAGGAGCAAGAAAACGATCTTCATTTAGTATTGCTAGTGCATTCGCAAGAAGCAGACAACCCTCTAATAGCGTCCACAAACCCATTTACCCGAGCCCAAATTTACTCGAAACACAGCTTCAAAGGATATCAACTATAGGGATTCCTTGTACAGCAAGTGTTGTCATCCGCTGTATTTTGATTACACGAGATAAGAGATTATATAAAAAAGAATGATAGAATGAAGGATTTAAGGATTTAAGGATTTAAGGAACGTGGGAGCCTATAGTGGCAAGACACGCTCGTCTATGAAGCTCAAACGAGACACTCAGATAGGGCATGAACTAAAGAGAGTATCTTAACAATTTAGATGCAAATGCAAAAACTATAGTAATTAGCATACACATCTAATTTACTAACGATCACAACAACAAGAACGAAGGAAAAGAATCCATAAAAAAAAAAGAGAGAGAGAGAACGAAAAACAAGAAAGATAAAGACACTTCATCAACCAAAGGAACACGCTCCATTTAATTAGGATACCCGAAGAGAATAATTTCCTAAGAACTTTGTTAGTAGAACTTAATCTAGATGCAGGGAAATAATACTTTTCAAACAAGGAAGCAAATATAGCATTGCGATAGACTTTGAGTTTTCTAAACCATGCAGTAGAAGGTTCTAGACTTACTATGGAAACACCTTGAAGATTAAAAGTTGGAACACCACCTCCTGACATGGTTCGTGAATAGTCTCTTTTTTCAATAATTTAAGGAACTAATCCTCTAGATAAAAGGAATTTTCTATCACAAAATCTGACATGACAAGCTGCAGTTACAACTATCTTATTTAACAAAATTTAGGTTTGGGATGACAATACATCCGAAGAAATTCACATAAAAGCAGCGATAAGCCAAATAGCTGCACAAGCTCAAAAGGAGCAGAAATCAACCATATGCACTTACCTTTATCCTGGCATTCATTAGCAAACATTGAAGAAAGCTTTTCTAATCTGAGGTGTTGGGTTCAAAGAGACCCTACTACCATTGGTGAAGAATAAGCATCATACTCTCCTTGCCATCCAAGCACGTGATAAGAATGATGTAAAATGTGCACTGGAAATTTCTCAATTGGAAGGCTCTCCCTTTAGCAACTTCTCAATCAACTAACTTTACCACAAACTAAATTGGTGTAATTACCTCATCTAGAAAAGTCTCACCCCCTTAGTGTCCTACGAAGAATAACATGTCAAGAGAGTAAGGAAACACTTTGGGATGTCCAATCCCACACCCTAACTCCTATAGACAGCCGATGCAATTTTATTATCCTAAGTCTTGACTACACTGCTTGGATTGCAGTTAACCGACTCCCTTGGGATGTCTATGTAACCCCATGTAAATATTTTGGATAAAGCGTATAATTTGGTTACTGCTAATCAACTCAACCAAATTATAAGCCTGCTACAAAACTTATTCAATCTTTTGGTAAAACCTTATAATTCGGTTGAGGGACGTTTAAAATCTCTTCTATTATCTTGATTCAGCAATAAAAAAAATGTCTCTCATGTTCTCTCAAATTTTGATTACTCTCAACTACCAACTAGTCCTCTAGTTGGTTTCATTCTTCTCAATGAAAAGATCGGTTTCTTATCCAAAAAAAAAAAACAAAAAAGAAAAAACTACCAACTAGTCCTCTAATATTCATCCTGAGTTAGTCTCAAACCCAAACAATTTGATTAAGGTTCTTCCTTCTCCGTATTAGTCTACATACAGAACCCCTTTATTATTACCTGGCAGTAGGCCATGGATGTTAAGCTTCTCGAATTCTAAATTTAACTTGGGGATCAGTTTCTCCTTTCCCCTCCTGGCTCCTATAATCTTTGTTATGAATAATGATTAGCATATAATTCAGAAAGAAAAACTCAGATGGTTTCATTGAACAATATAACTCCTGATTAATAGCCAATGACTTTCTTCATAAAGCTCAAAATTGGAATGGGCCCCCTTGTTTCTGTGATGTTACCATTTAAAATTCATTGGATTTTCATTGTGGCAGTGCTGCTTTAATTGGGCTTGATAAAACCCTTCAAGAAGAGGTCTATATGCATTGACCTCTAAGTTATCAAGAGCCTTTCTAAGCCCCAGATACTTGCAAGCTTATAAGAGCTCTATATGGCTTGGAGCCAGCCCTTGTCTGCAGTAACAAGCTCAGATCTACCTTGAAATCTTGAGCAATCTAAGTCTAACATCTTCCTTATTCTTTTTTAATTGACTTCACACAGTTATCTTTGTTCTTGTATCCTGGCCCTCAAGGACCTCGGTAATCTTCAGCACTTCTTGGTCATTCAATGTGAAACCTAACCACAATTTAAGCAGATATATTTTATTAGTGGTTGACAAACTTTACACTCGGTGTATGTCCTCTGGTGCGAGAAAGACTTTGCTATGATACTAACTCCTAAGAGGCCGTGTAATTAAGTAGTTTAACGGAAACCATACCAAACGCTTATAGTAGTTACTTTAGTTTCTTTCCACCCATTATAGTTCTGCATGGTGTACTTCGAATGATCTTGTAATCCTCTTCTGTTTTCCTCTAATGACATGAGCTCAGTGGAATCATTGAGCAAAGATTAAGCAAGCTTATTCTTACCTCTGTTCACGGGTTAGGTGGAGCTGGTATGAAATAATTTTCAGAAACTAACTAAACTTTTTGGTTGACCGTAAAACCAACCAGAATCCTGACCATACTTTGACTGAATGCAAATTGACCCCGTAAGTGGGTCGGGTCATTGTTATTGTTGAAAATGTTAAGAAAATATAAAATAAAATGTATTAGATTAAATTTTAAAATATCACATTTAGTGATAACTTTCACTTAATTTTAACATCTTTTCATAGAACCAGCTTTGAAACTGACAAATACAAAACATACATCAGTTCTATCAAAATTCCATGAGTACTACGACTAGATACCTCTTGAAACTCTATCAAAATCAGCTCAAAATAGGAGGTTGTAGAATGCGGCGGGGCTAAAGAAAGTGAAATAAAGCAAGTAACAATTAGCAGAAACCAGAACAAACATGGCAGAGACAAACATCAAAGCAAATTAGACTGTAACCGCAATGAAATGTAATATATGCACATGAATGTAGCTACAAAAGCAAGCGGAAACCAGAATAAACATTCTACCGTCTCTACCACTGTAATTTATACACATAAAAAGCAAAGCAAAAAACATAATAGCAGCAAGCACAAGCAGAGACCAGAAATTGAACACGGCAAAGACACAAACTAGCCAATTGCAGCAGCAAATAGATCAATTGAACCAAGAAATTCAATTAAGAAAAGGCAACAAACCTCAATGGAGAGACTGAAAGAGATCGAAAAAAAGAGAGCGAGATCGAAAGAAATAATTGAATTATTAACAGTAGATCATGCGAAAGGCTGAAGGAAAGTTAAGAGATCTGAAGTTAGAGATGTATGTCCAATACCTGGAGTCCACGACAGAAGTGGAGACTGAATCAGAGGTTGAAGCCTTGAGTCGCCGATGAGAGAGACAGAGCCAACGCAGGTCGAAATCGGAGGCTGATGCGTCTGTGAATCGCAGGAAGCAACATGAGAAACCTGAAATTATACAGCCCAGCCCGTTAGTGAAGAAGCTTGTCCAGTTAAGATTGCTGTCTTAAAGGCCCAAAAGTAGCGGGTCGGATTTAAAAGACCCGGCCTTATTTCGGGAGAAAAACTGTTAGATTAGTTTTTTAAAGCAGTGGGTCCTTGTGTTGTGATAGTAATGAGCAATTATTTAACATTTATTAAATGATTTTCTTTGGCAAAGAAAATTGAGAGCGACCGTGAACATAACTAAATACTAAATAGTTTGAGATTCAATCCCCCTCACAGCATTAAAAGAGATCTCGCATTGATCGAAAAGTAGTTTTAGTTCAAAATGTTTAATTAAATAGTAAAAAATGATTATGAAAAGTTTAACAACTAAAAAATCCAATACTTGTAGTATTTTGAAATTGAATTATCTACATTTAGTTTTCAAATCAATGGATCTCACCCAGAGCAGGAATAATCATAAAAATAATAGAAGACTTAAAAGAAAATAATAATAATAAAAAAACTATAAACTAAAAAAGGTCCTGGCTCACCAAAAAGAAAACCCACTCTATACAAAAAGTAACCATCACACATAATTCTCCCCAACTCCAATTACAAAAACCACATTTTTAATACATGGAATACGTCAGTACCTCTCACTTGTAATATTTTTTGACAAAAACCCAAACACCAACTCTTGTAACCCTAAGAATGAAGAAGCTAGGGGATGGGGGATGGAGAATTTTTGGTATTTTAGAATGAACATTCCACACTCAAAGTTGGTGCAACCAAGGTAGAGGGTAGCATTCCAATAAATTTAAAAAAATGAAAGTTGAAATGTAAACGGAGGGAAGAGGGAAGTAGATTTTCATCATGAACTTGGGAAAAAGCAGCACCCACACCACCATGTAAGTCAAAGAATTTCAACACTTTGTTTGGGCCATCCCAAACGGCTACTTAAACAACGTGCCTCTCTCTGTTGGATTTTGTATACATTTTTTTATTATATTATCGGACATCCAAACAAGCCGTTAGTGTGGATCTATGCCTTTTTTCTCGTTTTCACCTTTATTCAAAGTTGGGAGTTTGGGATTTCAACATAAAGCTATGCAGAGGGCTTGACGTATGAAGCATCTGTTTGAAGTTTGAGGGCGAAAAGTGTATTAAAAAACTGACAGTGATTTGAAACTCCGAACTTTAATTTATGAATGAAGTAGATAACACTTTAATCGGTTGAACCAAACTCGTATCAACACATAAATAATATTATGTCCGAAGCATTTTGAATATAGAGAAAAGTTATGAAATGTATATCCAAAATGTACATTGGGATATTTGTTACTAAAAGACAATAATTTAAAGGTATGTTTTTCTATTGTTTAGAATTTTAAGGTCAATTTGAAAAAAAAAAAATCATATTGAAAAAGGTGTTTTTAGAACAGTGAAAATTAAACAGAAATATTATTTGTAAGCAAGTTTCATTTTTTAAAAACTAAAAATAAAATTTCTGTTAAACAATATTTTTAAAAATTCCAAGACACATGGCTAGTAGTTCACTTTTCCTTCTGATACGCCTTTTGTTTTGATGTAATCCACGTAACTAATTATTAACTCGTAGATTTATTAACAATAATAAAACAAGACCCACACCAAAGTGGTTACATAATACCAAAATAATGACCATAATAATAAATAAACATAGATAGAAAATATTATAAAATAAGCATATTACCAAAAAGAAATATACAAAACAAATTGTCTGAATATTAGAAAAAAAAAAAGAAAAAAAAAATCTTCAACCATCAACGTTGTTTACCTCAATATTTTATTTGGTCAAAAATAAAATAATTCATGCATTATAGATTTAAAGTACAGTCCTTTTGGTCCTGCAAGCAAACCAACTTTCATTTTTGCCCTAAATTTTTGCATCTGTCCCGAGGGCCAAAATTATGGACCACAATAATTCATCATTATAATTGATGAAACTCTTCGTTGTGCAGATAAATTTTATTTGTGGAAATCGAAACTACTCTTTAATAGGTAAATAATTAACTACCCAGATTATTTTGACTTCTAATTAATGTTCTAACATCATTTTTCTATTATAGTGGTGGTCTCCTCCAACTCTCTCACCGTTTCTTTAGTTTAGATGATATTTATAGTAAGTTTTTTAACCTTCTTTTGAGCTTTCATTATTATTAACGTATTCTCTTTAATAATGTCGCTAGTAAGACACGACGAAGATACTAAAATCATATTAAATATATATACGAGAAAATCAAGTTTTTTTTTACTACTTTCTTATATAGGATGATTGGTTGAAAACTATATCACATCCTTGGTTTTTCTTGTTTGGTTGGGATAGAGGAGCCTTATCACACTATCGCAAGTTGGAAGGTTAGCTATAGTATGGTCACACAATTGGTCCCTTCCAATCTAGATTCATTATTAGAGAGGTTAAATGTGTTAAGTTAGGAACCCGACAACGGAGAATTTTCGAGTGGAAAGAAATATTTTAGGGTCACTTTTTACAACTATACACTTTGTCTAGTTTATAGTCACAAAAATGTAAGATGTATTGTTGGTACATTTCGAAGCAAAACTAGCTTTTTAGCTTCTTTTTACTTTTAAAATATATATATATATATATATTAAATTATAATTCGTCTCACTTATCACGCCAATATATAATTTTTATGTTACTTTTTAAGTACAACAATTTCAGGATAGTGTCAACTATAGCATAGTTCAACTTGGTTAATTAATGTATCTATCTCCGATAAAATGTCGTGAATTTGAATTTCCATCTCATATATTGTACTAAAAAAATAATTGTAGGGTGATATGTTGAACCATTAATATGTGTGGGATGGTAATATGTGATTTATCCACTTAATTACCTATGCTTCATTTGACCTTTTGTGTTGGATTTTTTTGTTAATATGAATGACATTCTATATATTTTATTAAAACCGACGATAATGAAAATTTAAAACCACGAAAACTTAATTTAGAGACCAAAATTATCAAAGGCATAAACGATAAAATAAAAAATATGTACTTCTAAGCATAACACTTAGCAACAAGTTTAAAATTTTCCACAAATAACACAATTTAATTTGATGTCAAACCATAAAAATAAAATTAAAGCACTGATATTCCTACATGTATATATTATTTCTGTCGTCCAATGCAGTCTTCTCAAAATCTTATTTAATATTTAGTTAATAGAATACTTATGAATTATTTGTTTATCCAACAACTTTTTGTCTAATCACTTGCATTTTTGTACTTGAAGTCATTTAATCTCCTCATTAATTTAGTTTTACTACATAATTAAATAAAAAATATACATGTTGACCTAAACAAAACTGAACTGATTAAAAGAAGTATCTTTACCATATCTAATTTGAGCATAATCCTCGTAAACTTTATTTTTTATTTCCTCCAAAAGACCTCGTATCATTAAAGATAATTGTATTTTATATATATATATATACACCATATATCACCATTCATAAATTAATATAGAACTTTGTTGGCACCTTTTGCAATTCTAATAAAAACATATATCATAGGTTAAAAAATTAAGAAGTTCGAATTCTTATCCCAAACTATTGTTGAATTAAAATATATATACACAATAATTAAAACGGTTGAGATAAACAATGTACACATGAGCAATCAAATAAAAAAAACAGGAAAGAAATCACACAATAAATAATAAAGAAAATACTATTTCCATTCTTCTTGTTTTCTATTTTTAAAAGCTGTTTCTAAAACATTAATTCATCAGACAAGTTTTTGAAATAATTTAGTTTATTTTGAAACTATAGAAATTGATTTTAAATACAAGAGGATCAGTGTGACCAAAATAAAATTGGCGAAAGAGAATCATATTTGAAATTTTGTTCAGAGGGGACTGGGGAGCAGGTAAAATTGGATTCAAAATCAAAAATCAAAGGCGTGAGTTGACATCACCGTTATGTTGCAGCAGCAAAATTCCATTTTTTTTAATGCTATTTTTTAAACTTCCTCTGCCCTCAGAGGATGAGAGAGAGAGATAGACGTTGGGCTGTCCTGTGGTGCTTTGGCAGTTACCTTTAACCTTTAAAATCAAATTTGGGGAAAGTTAGAGAAAGAGAGAAATTTGAAATCAAATCCTCATCTTTCCCAGACAAGTGAAGCAGCTATTATGCTCTACTAGAGCAGAAAAATGAACTGTTTCTCAGGCCCAGTTCACCGATTCTTGTGATCTCCTCCCACCATGTTTGTACCTGGTGAATCATTCAAGAATCTCTGAGATCACCGAGCCCATTCTTTTCTTCTTCTTTTGGGATTCAAAAACAGAAAATTTTGCTTTTTGAAATGGAAGCTTCGGTCAAGAGGAGCGAAAATGCTCCAAAAATTAGTGGGTCTTTTGGCTCTAATGGAGTTGGAACTGAGTCGTCGCTCACCGAGTCCAGTGCTGCGTCTGGGGAGAGCAGCTCGAGCCGGTCGAGTTCCGACACTTCCGGCGACGACGTGAAGGCCGGCGAGTGTTCTTCTCCGCCCCAACTCGGCTGGCCCATCCGCAAGGCTCAGCTTTGCAAAAGCTCCAATTCCAAGGTTCGTGAAGTTGAACAGAAGCCCAATTCCAGTGATTCAAAGCTGAGCAAAACGGCCCCCAAAGTTTCCGGTTAGTTTGATTTCTTCTTCCTTGGCTTGTTTACCGCAAACCCATTTTGATTTGGGTTTTGGGGTTTTGTTTTTAACTTTGTGAACAGAGATGGAGATGATGAAGGAGAGGTTTTCAAAGCTGTTGCTGGGGGAAGACATGTCAGGTTCCGGGAAAGGGGTTTGTACCGCATTGGCTATCTCAAATGCCATTACCAATCTCTGTGGTGAGCTTTCTCTTGCTTCAATCTCTGAAACTCCCTTTTCTTTTTGCTTCAATGGCTTCTTATTCTGTTTTTGTGCAACTTGAAGCTACCATTTTTGGGCAACTATGGAGATTAGAACCCCTGCCAAAGGAGAAAAAGTCAATGTGGAGAAGAGAGATTGAGTGGCTTCTCTGTGTGAGTGACCACATAGTTGAATTGATCCCCTCTTTTCAAACATTCCCAGATGGAAGCAAGCTGGAGGTAATTTTTACACTTCTGGTTTGATTGATTACAATGTTTTGTTTCTGTTGAGAAGAAGAATTGGGGTAAAAATGTTCACTGTTTAATCTGCAGGTTATGACCTCTAGGTCTAGATCTGATATCTTCATCAACCTTCCAGCTCTCAGAAAATTGGACAATATGCTGCTTGTAAGACTGCCTTTGTTTTTTCTGCTCATTCTGCTCATTCAATTCCTATCAGTGATTTAAGAATTTAGGATATCCTTGGCCTTGTTTACAGGAAATTCTTGAGAGTTTTGTCGATACCGAGTTTTGGTATGTTGATCAAGGCATTGTTGCTTCGGATGGCGATGGATCATCCTCTTTTCGGAAAATAGTTCAGAGGCAACAGGAGAAGTGGTGGCTTCCCGTACCCCGAGTACCCGCGGGTGGTCTCGGCGAAGATTCGAGAAAGCAATTGCATCATACTAGAGATTGCACAAACCAAATATTGAAAGCTGTGGTGGCAATCAACAACATTGCTTTGGCTGATATGGAGGTTCCTGAATCATACTTGGAGACTCTTCCTAAGGTTTGGACAGTGGCAATATTTTCCCCACGTCTTTGAAGAATTGCGTAGTCCTAATACATTGATTTTCATAAAATGCTGCAGAATGGGAGAGCCTGTTTGGGGGATGTTATTTACCGGTACATTACTTCGGAGCATTTCTCGTCTGAGTACTTGCTTGACTGCCTCGATTTATCCTCCGAACATGTCGCTCTTGACGTTGCCAACCGGGTCGAGGCTGCCATCTATGTCTGGCGCCGTCGAGCTCATTCGAAACCGCAAATCAATCCAACTCGTTCCACTGCAAGATCATCTTGGGAGATGGTGAAGGACCTGATGATTGATGGGGACAAGAGAGAGTTTCTAGCAGAAAGAGCTGAAGGCCTCTTGCATTCTTTGAAGCAGCGGTTTCCCAGTCTAACACAAACTACTTTAGACACCAGCAAGATCCAATTCAACAAGGTAAATATGTTCATTCTTCTTCCACTTTGCCATTATAATTCATTTTCCATTCCAAAGTTTTCACACCATTCTGCACATTTCAGGATGTTGGGAAGTCCATTCTTGAAAGCTACTCAAGGGTTCTGGAGAGTCTTGCATTTAACATCATTGCTCGAATCGATGATTTGCTTTACGTCGATGACTTAACTAAGCATTCGGATAGGTTGACATCGGTCGGGACAGTTAATGTAGTCGGTCACAAGAAGGCCGCATACTCGGTGCATCTCTCGAGCACTCCATATAAACTCACTGCCACAACTCCAAGTTTTTCACCAGCACCATTGGTTAGTCCTGCCAAGAGTGAGAGAATGCCATTTCTCAACAACAGAAATGTCGGCAAGCCTATCCGGCGTGGCTTCGGAGTGAAAAGAGCCTTGACAAATTATCTCGGCGTCGAGACAAAAGCGAAAACTTGCTTGAATTCAATTGAAGGGCCTGCTTCAATTCAGAATATTGTTGTCAATGAAAGTTCAGAACGGAGAAAGAGCTCATCTGCAGATCAAAGTGTGGTAAGTTGCAGCAAATTGCTCTCTGACAAGATCAAATAGCATCCCCCCGTGAAGAAAAAGAGCAAGAACATAGTATACAAATTAGAGTAGAAGGAAAATTTGTTAGAAAAACTCTTTCTGTAAGAAATTATTTCCATTATTTGATGCTTGAGTTCTGCTTTCTTATAACCTAAAGCTGTTACTGCAACCTATATCGAAACCAGGCATGTTGACTTTACATACATGTATTTGGTTCTAATGTAACTAAAAGCAGATGGAACATGTATTTTTAGAATTGTTTGTTTGTTCTAAATTGTTCTTGTGCAATAGTTTACTTACTTTGGTTCACATAAATTGTCCCTTACAATAAATTAAAATATGCTAATTTTAAGAGTGGCTCACCTGATCATATGCTATCTCGAATCATCCAAATCCAAATATGTTACACACGTGCAATCTCATCCAACTAATTTCTATTTAGTTAGGTACAGTATCTCTTTTTTTCAAACATTTTCTTTGTATATTTTTTACATTTCTCAAAAATACATTTGAATTTTTATCTAAATTTCAAAACTAAAAATTTTTAATTTTCGAATTTTTGTTTTAGATTTTGGAAATAATTTTAAAAAGTAGATATGAAGCAAAAAGACGCAGTATTTAAATTATAATAGAATTTAATTACGGATCACGTCAACAGCAAGTCGTTGTAGTATAGTGGTAAGTATTCCCGCCTGTCACGCGGGTGACCCGGGTTCGATCCCCGGCAACGGCGAATCCATTTATTTTTGCATAAATTTTTCAAGATTACAGTACGACTAGCCTGAACGACATGTCGTTTCCAATAAAGATAAACGCTTTCTTCCGACAGGAATGGTGCAATTTTTTCTATCCTTCCTCTCCCCCATTTTTCAATTCCTCAACCTGCTTTACCAATTGCGTTCACTACGCGCTGCAAGTCCGATTCCGGCCGTCCTCCACCGTCTGGAAGATGCCGGCCGGCACCAGCATTCACATTTCAGCCCTTGACGGCATCGTGAACGTCAACTCCATGTTCACTCTCGCCGTCTTCTTGGGCCTGGCCTGGAACCCCAACGATCCCACCAACAATCTCGTCCAAAACCCTAATTGCTTGGCCGCCCCCTCCATCGCCGAGAATCTCGTCGCCTTCCACGTCTACTCTTTCAGCTCCTTCCTCTTCTCCAGCTTAATCGCCCTCGGCCTCAAGCAGGCCATACGGATCTCAAAAAGCCCCTTCTATCACCCGACCGAGTTCTTCGTCCGCGTCAACAAATCGGCCCTTCGGATCGGGATGCTGATTTCGGGCATCGGATCGGTTTGCGGCTGCGGATTCCTCATGATGGCCCTAATTAACGTCGTCCAGATCAAGCTCGGCACTCTCAGCTGCGGCAGCTCTCAGACTTTCGCGGCGGTGGTTCCGCTTGTGATTTTGGTTCCGATTGCCCTCATTATTTACATCTGTCTTGTTTCCTACGCTTTTATCAATTAGACGTTGCGAATGCGTGTCCTGAATATACGACTCTTGATTTCTATTTGACATTGATTTGTGTCGTTGTGTATGATTCTAATTCTACTATTTCAGTATTGCTATCACCAATCTTCTCGCAGGATTGCGTCAAAATAATTCGTTTGATTATGTTCAAACGCTCCAGATCTCACGTAATTTCGGTCTCGGAGCAATCAAATCACAATTATTGCAAAGAGCGAATCCATCTGGAAACTCGTGAGTCGTGCCCACGAGATTCCTGTTCATTTGGTTTTAGATTTCGGTTCCAGTCCATTTTGGTTTGACTTGGGAGAAAATGGAGAGAAAATCAAGAAACTGGCTAGATTTATATGGGTTTAAGATTTCGTCCCTATGTTTTAGCTCCTATCTATTTTTATTTGTAATTTCAAAACATCTGTTTGGTCTTCTTTCTTTCGATTTTTATCCATTTTACTTGCGTGCTTCAAAAATCAATATTCTGGTTTGAAATATTGTTGTTAATTGATTATAATTATTATTTGAGAGCCATATGTGTTTGATCTAACTACGAAATCATATTAACAGCTTTTCGTTTTGGATCCATGATATTAAAATTTAATTTTATTATTCAACGACATTTCGTATTTAGTTAATCCTTAAGAAAGAAAACATTGTTTTCCATTAAATGTAAAAGTACAAAGTAATCTAGAAATTTAGAAATAAGAATTTCTGAGAAGGTAGCATTTTAATTGTTGAATAATTTTCTGACTTCATTACCTCTCCTTAATGACAAAATGCTAACGAATGATCTAATGGAAGCGACCTTTTTGGCTAGGAAAAATAATTCTAGAGCCTTCCAAGTCCACTATACTTGCCACAAAACAAACTTAAATGTTTGAAATTTTTAAGAGAAAGAGCAGATATTACCATTCGAGCTATGATTATCTTGACAACTGATTTAAAAAGTTCATCATACCTTAAAAGTGGATCGAGCAAAAGCCTTTGATTGGATCAATCTAAATGAAGAGTTTTTTTTTATTATTGTTATATAAGACGAATAAAGTGATAAAATAAAAAATATGAGAGATAACTTCAAAATCTTCCCATTTGAAACGACCCACCTAAATTCATATATATTACTAATTAAATTGGGTTGGGTGGTCCACTATAAATCATGGCTGTGAAACTTTGGTTTTTTTTTTCTTTTTCTTTTTCTTTTTAAAGAAGCCTGTGAAAGATGGGGAGCAGATAARTCCAAGTGAGAGATGATATTTTAATATATAATGAAATGTGGCAAGTAAGTTTCGAAATGGAATGCCCCTTAGGCCCAAAATAAATGGCCGAATCATCCATTGCAGACAGTGAGATATCACCACCTCTCCTAGTGATATCTCCACTTTATTCGATGGGTTTCACTTTCAGTATTTTTTTTGTATAAGAAAACTTCAATTAGTCATATCGAATTGATCATAAGATTGCTGTTTATGAAAATTTTAATTAAATATGTAGAGAATAGAGCACATTCATTATATATAATGATTAATAAGTTAGTTAGTGGAATCCTCAAAGTGCTATATCCACTCAATCTTCTGGGTTTCACGCACGAATGACAAAACCCAAGTCTACTATAAAAATGGGGTTTTGGAAGCCATCTCTTCATCTCATTGAAGAGTAAGAAGAAGAATAATGGAGTCCCCAAACAGATCAATTTGCTTCCTATTATTTTTTGCTCTGCTTTTCATTAGTGCAAGATGTGGTTATGTTCGTCCTAATAGCGAGTGTGCCCCATCTTCACCTGAAMGAGAGGCATACAAAATGCTTCCTTGTATGGCTGCTTCCAAAGATCCTTATTATCCAGTTTCCCAAAAATGTTGCGATCAAGTGAGGAAGCTAGGCCAGAGCACAAGCTGTCTTTGTGCAGTAATGTTGTCCAAAACAGCCCAAATGGTTGGGTCTAAGCCCGAAGTTGCCATTACAATTCCCAAACGTTGTGACATTGCTGAACGCCCTGTTGGCTATAACTGCGGGGGTAATTCATTCATTCATTTGTTGACGTTTTTTTTCTTTTTCCGACGTTTTTCTAAAAAAATTAGAAAAATTTTCGTCGGGAGAAATCATTCCCAACGTTTTATGGCATCAGTTATATTTTATTTTTAAAATGAGCACTCTTGAAATTTAAATTTAATATGACATGTTAGAAGAAAAAAATATTATTGACTTCTAGGTTTGTATTTATTTATTTTTATTTTTATCAAAAGAAATATATATTTTTCCTTATTTTTTACTTTTACGTTTTGCAGGTTACATACTACCTTGATTATTGTTGATGGTTGAAGAAAGTAATGAGGTGCCTACTTTACTATATAACATTTATGCAACAATATGAGGCACCAAGATGTTGAAGTTGTGTGTAGTATGAAAGAATAATAATGTGTATGTATGCTTTCTTGTAGTTGCAACTTTAAAGTGACATACAGTCACTTAATTATGTGATGAATAAAAATAATGAACTTGTCTTTATCTTTATATTACTTTTTAATTACTTTATGGCAATATAAATATAAGTATATTACGGTTTCTTAGATTAAAATTTATAATAAACCTACCACTATTAAAAGATTTCCCCTAAATCACATGCTCTGTTTTTATTAAGCCAAAAAAATTTAACGGTAAAGTTTGAATATTCACACTCACATGTGTTATAGGAAAAATCGACTTAAATATGCATGTATTTATTTGTGCTTGTAGCACTTTTCTAAAAAAAAAAAAGTTATTTGTGCTTGTAGCAAATTTGCCTACGAAAAATAACAAAAAAGAAAAAGAAAAAGAAAACAATAAATCTTATTTGGAGTATGTGTGCAGTGCATTTATTTGGGGTTTGGAAGAATTCTGTTGTGTCTTCTGGGGTTATTGTATTGTATTGTATGTCCAAATCTGCTGTTATTTCTCTATTTTTTTTTAACTCAGTAAAATTACACCATGTCACAATTTAAAAAGCCTAAATAGAACTATGAAATAGAAAAAAAAAAAAAGAAATAGAAAAAAGCGTACAGATTATAAAAATGTTAAATTACTCTTTTTGGCCTCTATGATTTAGGCTTAATTTCAATTTGATTCCTATAATTTTAAAAACTACCATTTGATCGTATAATTTATAATTAGTTTTAATTTGATGTTCATGGTTTTAAAATTTATGAGCTAAAATTATAAATTAAGAATAAGAACCAAAATTAAGTTTGTAATGTACTTAAAGAAAATTTACTTTGTAATTATTATTTTCTAGTCCATTCTTAAAATGGTAAACAAATATTCTTGTTCATTATTCTGATCAGACATTTGTATTTGTTATAGTTCGTCAAATAAATTTATAGGATATTAAATTATAGATAAGTTCGTAATTTAAACTCAAAACCTCTCAATTCATTAGAATTTACCTTAGTCTCTTTAGACTACTAGACAACGCAGGGTTAGTTAGTTTGGATTGATTTGATTTTCAATAAATTTAGCTTCAAATGTGAGTAAAGTAAAAGTAGGTTTGCCTTTTCCCTAGGAAGAATTTATTATTATTATTTATAATCAATATCTGTTATGACTTTTGTTGATGCTTGGATTTTAGTGAACCGGATACCTCCAAAATCGAACAATCCTAAACTGATGTGACTTCAGTCACACAGGTTTCGATGTCTAAGTCAGTTATGAGAGAAATCACTCAGCAAGTAAGACACTTGAAAGTGTAATTTGGCTTACATTCAATAGGTGATTCCCTCTCTCTTCTCCCTAGGGTTTCACGAATTCCAACCCTAGGTCCTCTCCAGATAGTCGGGCTCACTGGATCGTGACACTTACGGGCCCTTTAATCGAGGCTTGGGTTCGAATATCATTTGATTGGTACGGGGACCGAGAGAGAAAAGTCGAGAAGGGCTCGGCGCCTCGATGCCAAGGTGAGGTTGGCTCTCCAGTGGGCCGACCCAGCTATCGGTGATCTCGGTTGTCCTTCTTCTTGTATGGTCCATACCCCTATCGTCATATGAATCTTATTGCTCCGTGTAACAACTTTTTTTTTCTAAGTGGAATAAGAATTTAAACTTTTTAATATTTTGGTTGAGAATTAATGCTTTTTTTTTACTACAAGAGTATAGATTTGAACGGAACCCCTTTAGTTGAAAATAAGTATCTTTAACTCGTTAAACTATGCTAAGTTGGAAAAAAAAAATTTATGGGGGCCTATTATATCTTGTTTGTATATGATAGTTATTTGCACAAAAAAGAAGATAACACAGGTAACCAAAGAAGACCTACACATAAATAAATATAATGTTTGACAATGGAATTGGAAAATGTTGTGCAGAAAATAGTAACGGCAATTTATTTAAGCCATTTAAATAGTTTGGATTTATGCCTATTCTGTGCCACATGAAGGGCCGCCTTCAGTGCCTTTCGCTTCGTTATTCTGTTTTCTTTTTATTGGCTCTCTAAAATCCCCCGTTTTCTTCTTTCCCTCTTTCCTTAAAACTCGCTAATAAAATTTCCAACACAATTTTGAAAATTCCTAATCCAATTACCACTCTCCCCTTGCCAATCCATTCACCATTTTCTTTATGGTTAGTTAGTTCTTCATTCTCCTTTTGTTTTTCTTCTCTTTTAACCTTCTTCCGGCTGTTTCCCACCGAAACCTTCCATTATTTTCTCGTCAATCAAACGGATTCTTTTGAGGCGTTATGCACAGAAAATGCGATTGTTAATGCGTTTATTTGTTCTGAATCGTATGTTGTTGGATCTGGCAGGTGTTAGGCTCGGAATTTGATTAGGAATTTGATCAAATGGCTTACAAGGTGGATCACGAATACGATTATCTCTTCAAGATTGTGTTGATCGGTGATTCTGGCGTCGGAAAGTCAAATATTCTCTCCAGGTTTACGCGGAACGAGTTCTGTTTGGAGTCCAAGTCCACAATTGGAGTTGAATTTGCAACGCGGACTTTGCAGGTAGGCCACACCACGCCATATAATATTCTCTTTTTCCTTCCGATCAAAGTTTCTAGTTACTTCCCTTCCTTGATTCGATCGTGTCTTTACGTTACTTAATCAACAATCGGAGAATTTTGATTCTCAAGGATGAGAATCTTAAATCACGACGAACTCGAGTAAATTAGAAGATCGTTACGATCATAATTGTATTTCCTTTCCCGAGTATGAATCCGATTCTGAATGTTGATGAACATTTTCTTCCCTTCCAATTGTTCACGAACAGATTTACGCCCTAATAACGGAAATTGAAAGTCAAATCATCGACATTCGAGAAATTGAATGTTGTAGTGAAGAGAAGAACAATGCGATTTGATTTGTGAATTATACCGAAATTGAGTTGACAATTCAAGTAGATGATTGTTTGAATTGGTTTGATACAGGTAGAGGGGAAGACGGTGAAGGCCCAAATATGGGACACAGCTGGTCAAGAGAGATACCGAGCCATTACCAGTGCCTATTACAGGGGAGCAGTGGGCGCTCTTTTGGTGTATGATATTACCAAGAGACAAACCTTTGACAATGTGCAAAGATGGCTACGCGAGCTGAGAGACCACGCTGACTCCAACATTGTGATCATGATGGCCGGAAACAAGGCCGATCTGAACCACCTCCGGGCAGTGTCCGCCGAAGATGCTCAGGTTTTGGCAGAGAAAGAAGGGCTGTCATTTCTCGAGACCTCAGCCTTGGAGGCTTTAAATGTTGAGAAGGCATTTCAGACCATTTTGCTCGACATTTACCACATCATTAGTAAGAAAGCTTTGGCCGCTCAGGAGGCGGCTTCCACCCCCGGCCTCCCCCACGGCACCACCATTAACGTCGCTAATCTCTCCGGCAACTACAACAAGAGAAGTTGTTGCTCTAATTGATGCAGTATAAGAGTTTTTGTTGTAAAAGGCACGATGAATAGAGAGTTTATAGATGGAAAAAAAGAGACGAGAAGAAGAGAGACACAGAGGACTGCTTCTTCAATTTCTCTATATCAACTTTGTTTGTTTCTGTGGAAAAATGGCAGATTTTCCTGCATCAGGCGGATTTTTTTATCCAGAATGTAGGCGCTATTATTCTTGTCATTTTTAAATGTTTATGTCTTTATCATTTTTTTTATTTTTGCAATAAATTCTTCATTAAATTTTGTTTTATAAATAGTTTTGTTTGGCCCCATTGATGGACAAACGCTGTTTCAACATCTTCCTACATCACCAGATTAAATTCTATACTTTTGTAATATATAGAATTTCTTTTGATGGTATTTGTAATATATAGTTATTTGTACTTGAAAATTTTCAACTATACTATATAATATAACGGCATGATTCATCCTTGTATTCTTGCCCCCACCCCAAAATTTATCAATGAAATGATAGTAAATTAATTTTATTATTTTGATTGTGTGAACTTGAAGGTCAATTTGGAATGTATTTTTTTTTTAATTGTAAGTAACGTTCAGAGGGAGGACAGGAACAGTGTTTAAAAAAAATAAAACAAAAGAATTAATTTCTAAACAAGGCGTACGCTTTTGGGAAATTTAATCTATGCGGTTTAAATTAGAAGACCGCTGGCGCTGAGAGAGGACGCCTCTGCCGCTCCACCACATAGGAGATAGATATAATAATAAATATTATTTTAATTCCTTTCTCTTTCCAAGAAAAGTCTTTTATTTATTTATTTTTATTTTATATTTGCTGAGTAAATAGAGGAACTTAGAGGAAGATAGAGTCGGAAAGAGGAGACCGAGAAATAGAGAAAACGAAGGAAGGTTTAAGAGAGGAAAAATTATAAAGGTTTTTAAGTTCTTTCTGGTTTTGGGTTCGATTATTAGGGTTTCTCTGTTTCTTTTGGGAAGAGGATCCGAGAATCTTAAATCCTAATGGCCTCTCAAGGGCAGGGAACTATTGACCCCGCCGTACTGGACGACATAATTCGACGGCTCACGGAGGTCCGATCGTCCCGGCCGGGCAAGCAAGTTCAGCTTTCCGAGAACGAGATCAAACAACTTTGCCTTGCTTCCAGAGAGATTTTTTTTCAGCAGCCCAATTTGCTCGAGCTCGAAGCCCCTATTAAAATCTGCGGTATGATGCTTTTGTTGCTTAGTTCTATGTGTTAGAAATTTCCCCCTTCTTTTTCCCCCCCTTTTATCTTTCTTTTAACGAATAATCGTAAGAGTTAAAAAGTTTGTATCTTTGTTCAGTTTCGGATGTTTCCTTTTTCCTTGGGTTAAATTCATGTTCTTCGTTGTCCTGGTTCAAACATTTGATTTGCCAATTTCTTTTTTTCGTTTGGGGGGCTCGCTATTTGTTTGTTAACTACGTTTCTAAGCTTGTCCCGATTTTAGTTTTTCCATTTAGATAAAATGTGAAATGGTAAATTCTCCCTGAATCCAAGTTATAGAAAGAGAACATGAAATTTGTCTTTATTTTTTTCGGATGGAACTTTGTGGAATGGCTAACTTTAACCTAATTTAGGACAAGCCGTCAGAAAATGTATATCATGTTGTCTTTCTTTAGTCTTCTCGTTTTCCTTAAATGAGTTTATGGTTATTGGATGATACTTCGAAATCTACTCTGATTTTTTCTTATTTTAATGTTCATTTCAATTACCCTGAAGAATTCTTGCCCTTTGAATTATTGGGGCTGCAGTCAGTCCTTGTGTCTACTATTGATCAATTTACTCTATGATGTTTTTTATTACTAGGAATGTCCTAAAATCGAAGTTTTTAAATGGCCAAGACAACTTGTTCCATTAAAAACCTAAATTCAGTTGCAATTTCAGCGTTTTACTTTCTTGTAATTCCCATACCATTTAATTTTTAAAACATGATCGACCCCCTTCCTTTTATTCTCTGCAAGAGTATTCAAAGTATCTAACACAAGGTGGTTTCTGATTAGAGCTCCTAGAGCAACGAGAATATATATTAATTTCACCTTTCTTGATGATCTTTATCATAGTTTTATGAAGTTAAATCTTCTAATCTCGTGTACTGTTTCTTTTCAATTTTCAGGTGACATTCATGGGCAGTATAGTGATTTACTACGGCTTTTTGAGTATGGAGGCTTTCCTCCTAGTGCCAATTATCTATTTTTAGGGGACTACGTGGACCGTGGCAAACAGAGCTTAGAAACAATATGCCTCTTGCTTGCCTATAAGATCAAGTATCCTGAGAACTTTTTCCTTTTAAGAGGAAATCATGAATGTGCTTCAATTAATAGGATATATGGGTTTTATGATGAATGCAAACGGCGGTTTAATGTGAGACTCTGGAAGGCATTTACTGATTGTTTTAACTGTCTTCCTGTGGCTGCCCTCATTGATGACAAAATTTTATGCATGCATGGTGGTCTCTCCCCGGATCTTACAAACTTGGATCAAATAAGAAACTTAAGTAGACCTACTCCTATTCCAGACACTGGCTTGCTATGTGATTTGCTTTGGTCAGATCCTTGTAGAGATGTTAAGGGATGGGGAATGAATGATAGAGGAGTCTCTTACACTTTTGGTCCTGATAAGGTGGAAGAATTTTTATCAAAACATGACCTGGATCTCGTATGTCGTGCTCATCAGGTTATTGCTTCTTCTTCCCTTATCCCTTCTATTCGTTTCAGTGTATTCTAGTGACTTATTGCTACTTGTTCCTAATTCTGGTGTGATGTTTTGACCTAGGTTGTGGAGGATGGTTATGAATTTTTTGCCGACAGGCAACTTGTCACAATATTCTCAGCCCCCAACTACTGTGGTGAATTCGATAATGCTGGTGCAATGATGAGTGTTGATGAAAACTTGATGTGCTCTTTCCAGATTCTTAAGCCAGCAGAAAAAAAAGCTAATAAGTTCATGATGACTACAAAAATGTGATGGTTGCAAGTTAATTATTCTTAGTCTTTAACCAAGGTCAGCTCATAAATATTTCACCTTTCTCCTCATAAATGCTTTTCTTGTGCAGTTTTTTCAGTTGGGTTCATATTTGTTCGTATCAGTGAGTTTCCATTTCCACTTTTGTGCCATTTCTTTAGGTTGCTGTCAATATGAGCTTGATAAAAATTTTGGATATGCAACTCGCATAAGTTCAAGGTTATTTCTAATGATCTGTTGAATAACAACAAAGTATTGTAGTATACACCGCTTTTGTCTGGTAAGTAAAGAGAATTGCTAATTTGGATTGAACTGTTTATCTTGGGCAAGAGATATTGAAATGATTTTTTGTCAGTAATGTTTATTGCAGAGTTGCAGAGGAATTTGAAATATATATTTTTTTTATATGAATTTAGATCTTATGATGAATTCCTTTAGTTGTGTCTGTCTGTTTCAATAGTGCAATTGTTTGGATAGGATTGCTTGTGTGAATTTGAACACTTATTTCGTTGGCTCTAAAGAATTTGTTAACTTCATGGGAAAATGTACAAAACAGTGCATCAAATATGTAAAAATCCACAAGTTTAAGAAGTTGGTGAAACTTTTGTTTTCCTTCAAGATGGGTGAGGCCTGGCCTTGCTTTGATAAGGCTATGTCAGCTGTTCCTTTGCAATCTGAATTTGATTTAATAATATAATTCCTGCAGGCATTTGACTCATTTTCTGGAAAAAGTAATTGTAGAAGATTGCAAAGCTTCAACACATTATTGTATCTGTGAAGTGAAGAAGAACGATGCACTGCAATTTTTTTTGGGTTCTTTTTTCATTTTTGGTGGTTAAGTGGGGAGGTATTCAAAATGGAAAGTGAAGAATACTGCATAAAAATGAGTCGATGGCCAGATATAGGCAGAAACTTCTATATTTTTCACTTTTTTGTGTACTTAATTTGCAGTACGTTTGTAGTGTATAATTAGTTTGGCAACACATAGATCGACATCCCCTCAAGATTTCTTCTCAATTTTCTCAAGCTGCAGTAGCATTTTCCACTCTTTGCTATTTTTCCTGCTGAAATTGGCATTGTTCTTGCGAGTTTTCCCCTTCTCATGCTTTTTTCTGGAATTAGATGGAGTTCCAAATTCATATTATTGATATTCGGAACCGTCTTTTTCAGTTTTTTGGTAACAGTGACTTGATTCTCCATACAGAAAGGTACATGGATTGTTACAGATTGGAATTGGTGCCCAATTTTTTTTGCATTGGATTGTGGATGATCAACCATTACAATTCTTTCAATTTCTTTTTTTCAATACAACGTGGGGTATGAATTCATTGTGGTAGGAATTTGAATTCATGATTTTTTTTTTCAATACAACATGTGATGGTGGACATTTGAATTCATGATCTTTTGGTTGGAGATATTTGTCTGATTAGTCGAATTAAGTTCAAGTTGACATTAGAATTCTTTTTTTGTTCTCTAATGGAAGCTTTGTTGTATGCTCTTGCCATCGATTTTTTGAGCCTGCTGTTAAAGATAAAGACGATGTTAAAGATAAAAGATGTTATATATATGATATTTATTTGATTGGTGATGGATATTTGAGAATAAATCACGGAGAGAAGGCGATGGGTTTAATTAAAAGTTTGAACAATTTGGTAAAGAATGGTTGGTCCTAACTCCTCGTTCAAAATAAAGAATATATTCATCTCTATTATAGTTGTAGAGGAATCAAATATTATTTGTACTTGTCATGACTCTTGAAATAATAGAATGTCTAGATATTTAAAGAATATAGAAAAGTAAAGATTTTTAAAATGATAATATAATTTATTCTCAATAAATTTTATTTCGCCTAATATTTAGAGAGGTTTTTTATAAGAAAACTTTGGTATAAATCCCCAAAAAGGAGGTTGCACTTACAATAGGGGAAAGTAAAATCTCCAGACTAGCAAATATGAATGGAGGTTAAATAAAGTCCTACCTGTCCAAGTGTTTTTTATTTATTTTTTGGGTGCAAATCCTATATATCAAAGTTCTACTTCCAAAAGTACTCAAAAAAAAAAAAGTTCTACTTCCAAAAGAATTAAGTGATTAGTGATTTCTTTCCGGAGAGATTAATGATTTTGATTCTGGTTGTGAAGAATGTTTTAATACATTAGAATACCAACAAAATTTTAAGGACATTATCTATTATTTAGAATATATATGATATTACAAAATATTTGAGGACATTATATATAAAATTATGAACTTTTGATGTAGCTTTGAAAATAATCCCTAATAAAAATGAGGTCAAATTACAAGTTTAGTTTTTTTTTTTAAGTACAAACAAGTTCAGTTTTTTGAATTTTTAGATTTGTGTCTGATAGGTCGCTAACATATTCAACCATTTTGAAAATAATCGATCTATTAGCCATAAATTTTAAAAACTATTAAATACAAATACAATAATTTATTAGATTCAAAATTGAAAGTTTAAAAATCTATCAGATATTTTTTAAAATTTAGAGATTTATTATATACAAAATAAAAAATTTAGAGATATATTGGGTACAAGCATGAAAGTTAAAGTACTTTAGTTATAATTAAACGTAAAAACGTAAATACAAACAGAGCTCTTACTGAAAAAAAGGAAAGGAAAATCAAAGCCCAGGAGGAGGCCCAGGCCCATAAGTATTCACGAAATATGAACAGAAATCGGCAAAATTTAACAAATGGGCTTTGAACGAACCGGGTAATAAAGAAAAATGGCGCCCATTTATTACTCTTCCATTTAAATTTCCATCCATCTCTCGT